ACAATTCGGATTCATTTTGTTCAAATCACAATAAATATTAATCAATCACCCGATTGAATCAAATAACCCACTATTCGCTTTACACATGTTGTCGTTGAGGTCCAATTATTCACATAGTCCAAACACAGATTCATCTGTCACGGCAGATGTCGCCACGCGTAAGGAATCAAAAAGACGAGAAATGTACAATTCTACCCTTCCAACGCTATAAAATCCTTCAAAATCATTAATCAGGGAGTAGAAAATATTGAACTTTCCAATTGGTTAAGTCTCGTTGAAAAGCGAGTCCAGTATTCTATTCTTTTTGCTTTCATCCTTTTGATTCCCCTACTTGACAGTTGACACGATTCAATTCCTCCTGCCATTGCGAACAGAAAAAGTTCCCGCTAGGGAATGCAGAGAAATGAAAAGAGCTTCGCTTTATAACTTCCAATTAGGAGGCGGGAGGGCCCAAAAACCACCCGCTGGCGGCCGAAATTGCCACCGGAAACACGTTAACCTCCACCCTTAGATAAAAAATCCTCCAACATTTTATCGACGCAACCCAACATAACCCATAAAATTAAATATAGTTTTAACACTTCGAAACCTTACAAAATCTTCAAATTTCCTAGAATATGTCGATGGGATCCGAAGAAAAATGCAGCGCGCTAAATGGAAAATATGAGCTCGGTCGACTTTTAGGCCATGGGACGTTTGCAAAAGTGTACCATGCGCGCAACTTGCAGACCGGCAGGAGCGTGGCCATGAAAGTGGTTGGCAAAGAAAAAGTGTTGCGAGTAGGCATGATGGAGCAAGTGAAGCGCGAAATCTCCGTCATGAAAATGATGAAGCACCCCAACATCGTAGAGCTTCACGAAGTCATGGCTAGCAAGACCAAGATATATTTCTCCATGGAGTTGGTCCGTGGTGGCGAATTGTTCGCGAAAATCGCCAAGGGCAAGCTACGCGAAGATGCCGCTAGGAGCTACTTCCAGCAGTTGATATCGGCTATCGATTTCTGCCATAGCCGGGGAGTTTGTCACCGGGATTTGAAGCCTGAAAATCTGTTGCTAGATGAAGAAGGGAATCTAAAAGTAACGGATTTTGGGCTAAGCACATTTTCGGACCATCTTAGGCAAGATGGTTTGCTGCACACAACTTGCGGCACACCGGCCTATGTCGCTCCTGAGGTGATTGGGAAAAAGGGATATGATGGTGCCAAGGCAGATATTTGGTCTTGTGGGGTGATTCTTTTTGTGTTATTGGCAGGTTATTTGCCATTTCAAGATGATAACATAGTTTCTATGTACAGGAAAATTTACAAGGGGGATTTCAAGTGTCCTCCTTGGTTTTCACCCGAGGCCAGAAAATTGATCGCCAAAATGTTGGATCCAAGACCAAGTACGAGGATAAGTATAGCAAAGATTATGGAGTCATCTTGGTTCAGAAAGTCAATACCAAAGAGTTTAAGGACTAACGAAGAGCAAGCTGAAGATGAGGATAATGTTGAGAAGGGAAAAGAAACAGAAACTATGAATGCTTTCCATATAATTTCCTTGTCTGAAGGCTTCAATTTGTCTGGTCTTTTCGAGGAGAAGAAGAAGGTGGAGAAAGAGGAATTGCGATTCGCGACAACAAAGCCGGCAGGTAGTGTGATTTCAAAGCTCGAGGAAGTTGCGAAAATGGGGAATTTTAGCATAAAGAAGAGTGATTCCAGCGTTAGATTGCAAGGCCAAGAAAGGGGGAGAAAAGGGAAGCTTGGAATCGCCGCGGATATTTTCTCCGTGACCCCTTCATTTTTGGTTGTGGAGGTGAAGAAGTCGAGTGGCGATACATTGGAATACAATCAATTTTGCTGCAACGAGCTTAAACCCGCGCTTAAAGATATTGTTTGGACATCACCCACGGGGAGTTCAGTGCCCACATTAAGTTCGGGATGTTAGATTCATGTTTCGATTGATCAATAATTGTTCTTATTTTTAGACTTAATCTGAAGTCTGTGGAATTACCATAATTTAGTTCAACTTGGGTTGATCCTCTTCTTTAAGATTGAGAAATATGTATGTATTTTGTGCAATGTCTGTTGAATCAAGTTTGTAAATTGGTGTATTGTACATAATTTAATTTTCTTGTTATACCTATAATTTGACTGTTTTTTCTAATAAGAGATGCAATGAATCTGTGATGTGATGACGCATGTTCTTTGAGACGCTACAAGTGTGATTGATGTGCCGTTTCGAGGTCCGTATTGTATTAACTAACTGTTTATGTTAAGGATTTATGCCGATTAAATATAAAAAAAATTAAACAATATGTAAGGATTGTAATACATCTCTTTAGCAATGTTGATTTTAAAATGAAATTTCAAGTCTTAACATATCGTTGATCAAATGAACAACCGCAAGAAAAAAAATGACTCCCCGCTGCTCAAAAGATTGCAGGAAATTAGAGATAGCATTACTGGAAATTTTAGGACTGCCCAAACTGCTGGAAACGCGCTATCCAACTGGAGTAAAGCTGGCGAATTTTGCGTCTGGGATGCCTATGAACATTTTCGGCCGAAGGGAGACAAGAAGGCATGGACGAGGGAGGTTTGGAGATCTTTCATTACTCCAAAACATGCTTTTATCTTATGGTTGAGTGTCCAATCGAAGCTACTCACTAAGGATCGATTGTCGTATCTCAACATTGATAAAAATTATGTTTTTTTGTGGGACGCACTTGAAAACGGGACAACATGTATTTTTCCAATACTCTTTCACCTCTAGCATATGGATAAAGATTAAAACTTGGATAAGGATTAGAAGATTGATGACTACTATTCCGATTGCTTTGAAGTGGATCAAGAAAGAGGCCCGAGGGACATCTTGGCAATGTAAATCCAAAAGGATTGTGCTTGCGAGCACCGCTTACTATATTTGGGTGACACGAAATAGGAAGATTTTTGAGGAACTAAGTTCGCATGTGGATAGCATTGTTAGACGAATTAAAACACATGTGTACAAGGTTATATTCGCTTTGTACCTGGATGTTTTAATTCATTTTGAGTTTTTAACTTTGGGACTTTAGTGCCTATTGTTTGTACATTGTTTTCCTTTTTGTTTGCTTGAGTATGCTCGAAGTAGGTGTACTTCACTTGGTTCTTGATTGCTTGGGTATATTCAGTGTACTTGTATTTGTATTTGATCTTTGATTGCTTGGGGATTCTCGGTGTATTTGTAAATGAGTTTTGATATATGAAATTTTACATTTAACGATAAAAAAAGCAAAAAATCAAATTTCAAAATTTGTGAGTTCAAATGGATCACCGTCTTGCAAGACATGTTAAAAGTAAAAGTCCATATCGAGTATACGTTTAAATGGTAATCAATGAAAGCCTAGAATATTTTAGTTCGAGTGTCCTCAAGAGATTCTCTATTTGTAGCGAATATCTTATGAATTATAGAAAACATATTTAAATTTAAAGAGTAAAATATTTTATACAGTCCAAGAAAAAATTTGTTGATTTGTCCTTGTTGACCTCGCGAAATGGACCTTTAACGTGGCCAACCGAGAGCCCCTTCACGTGTTTTTTTCTTGCGCAAATAGCACATGGTTGGTACCAGCAGAGGTGGTGGCGACCGCATACTTCGACGATCAAGTCAGTGGGAGGATATCGGAACGGTGATTGAATTGTGCAAGAGTGGGGAGGAGAAAAATTATACTTTTGTGTGGATATTTAAGTTATTTAGTATGAGTTTCATTATTTTTGCCTCTTGCTAAACGTTTGATATTTATAGACGAGGAGCACCGTTGGATGTGGGACAAGTGTATACATCCGACGGTTTGAGGGGTCCGCTCGTAGGCGTCAATCAACTGCGCCTAGAGTGTGCGGGTAATTAATTTCTCTGAGTTGAGTTGACATAAAATTGATACGTCACATCAATCAACCCATGGAGATAAAGGGGATCCTGACATAGATATATATTTATAAAACCGGTGGCGGAGGGATCTGTTGAAGATGCACCTCGGAGTATCCCACGCTTCGACGTCAGGGGATACTTTGGACGCCTTGGTACATTTACTTTATGGTGCTTGTGCCTTGCAACACATTAAGTTAGAGTTCGGTCGCGACTCATTTCACTACGGAACCACTTCGGAGGGACACGTGGCACCTCGGTGAGGGGTGGGGTGCGATGTGACGAAGTGGTTTAGTGAGGGGCATAACAATTCTCATCTTTTATTTTACATATTTTTTATATATCAATGACCAATTAATTTAAATGTGATTTGAATAATTTAAAGAGTACTATAGAAATTTGTGACTTACTAAATGTAATCATTATAAGGTAAGAATAGAGAACGTGTATGACTCTTCAAAATTTTTAATTAAAAAATTTAAAATAGAGTCTTTTGGAGCTTTTTTTTAAACATATGCTCTACAAAATTAAGCATCTTCCATTCAGAGAATCTTTTCGAAATGTTCTAAAATTAGGTTAAAAACCTGTTGGACAATAAACTAATAGGGTAGCGGAACTTTCATTTTCTTATGGGTGTAGCCACATGCTCCACTTTGTTTCAAGAAGTTAATGAAACTTACGTATTGAGGATAGAATTCTGAAGCGGAATAATTTCCGACTCTAAATGTTGGAAGAGTTTCCCAGATGAGATAAGGGAAAAGACCCTTGTCCAGGGTCACATGAGTGGATGTGGCCCTGGACAGAGACAAGCTCCCCACCTATGGGGTGGCGGAGGGCGGGGGCGTCATTTGGCGCATTATACGTCCAGGGCCATACGTCAAGCATGCAGGCCCCATGAGATAAATAGCTGCTGTTACAATTGAATCCGTTCTTTACAATCTACAACAAATGTAGCCCAAAATTAAAAGGTAGTCAACTAATTTTGGGCAACATGACACAGAAAGATAAAAGTAGAAAGAATAACTTTTCTTTGTTCCAGTACAGTTGGTCCAAAAAACAAAATTGTGGAGTAGAGAGATATATACTCTTTTTACCTTTCAATTATTGTCTTTCAAGATATTATTAACAATTCTAAACGATTCCTACTTTTTCTTGCATGCTAGTTTTCCTTTATCCCTTTTATTTATTTATTTATTTTTTTAAAGTATTGGAAAGTTCTTCTCTTGTGCATAATGATGTTATTCAAACTAAAATCGGAAAATAAAATTTTGAAATCTTCCTACAAACTAACATTTTGGAAGTTGTCACATCCATTTAGGAAGTTATCACTTCAATTTCACATGCCTAATTCTTGAAATTGTTATGTGGCTACTACTAAGACTATGGGTTCACCAACATGCAGTAGATTGAATAGGCAAATCATGAAAGAGATATGAGTTTAAGTAGTTGCGAGTTGGACTCTTAAGGATGAACAATTAATTTAATAGAAGGAGTCTTTCAATCGAATATATCATTTCTTATTATAGTGCTCGTTAAGCCAGTTTTAGCAACTTAAGCATGGCCTTTTTTCCAATCTCTTTTCCATTGCATTCCTTAAAATGAGAAAACAATTAATACATCTTAAAGCTTAAAAAAATTGCTCTTTCCTTATTTAATTTGTGATGGCAAGGGGACCAAATGGCTAATGAATCCATGTGCTACATGTTAAAGGTTGTTATCTCTAGTGGTCTTTCATGTGAACCAAAGGCTTCTTCTCTTATGTACTTTATTGTCAGGTAATATTTTATTACCTTTATTCATGCTCATGTCTTATACCATATTAACACATTGGGTCATACTATTTGTACCTGTCATTTTATATTTTGGGTTAGTCGATCCCAACTTCTCCTCTCACATGGGGGTCGGGTCCCCACGTCGTGGCCCTCACGTGAGACCCGACCTCATGTGAGAAGAGGCGTGGGGTTGAATAAATCAAAGTGTAAGTCAAAAGTACAAATAACTTGTTTCAAGGGGCATTTTAGTTGGGCAGTTGAGCATTTCTGGTTGAAAATTAAGACCCTATACCAGATTGTTGTGGATAAAGAAAGACACCCCCCCAAGTTGCTTTCCCCACCACAACCATTGTTTCGGCAATTCTATTATTAAGGTTTATGTGTCAGTTTGCTCAGACACATTGATATTATTGCTAAATTTGTTACTTTCCTGAGTGGGGTCCTTATAGGTATCATCAATAATTTAATTTTTCTACATACCACTGGTTCTTCTGTGGTCACTACCATTGTTCTGCAACCATCTGCCTTTAATAATTATGAAAACGAGACAGATAATTCAGAAAATGAAAAAAAAAAAATTGAAAATACGTTGATTTTATGAGTATTGTATATTTAGAGATTAATGGTTTATTTGAGCCATGTTATTTTCAAAAAAAATACATTTTTTAACAGTGATTTGATATCATTTCAATCATACATTTTTCAATATAATAATATTACGTGTAAATCTAAAATCTTTTCTTATTTTTTAACCACACATTTCACATTGATTTGACATGAATAATGCATTTTTTTCCCTAAAATGTGGCTCAAACATGGGCTAAATATATGTTGATTTGTGCATAATACTGAATACTTAGCCCCTGTTTGTCATCCATTTTCTCTTATTCTCTTTCATTATTTTTTCTACAATACTCATTTTCAATCGCACATTCTTCAATAAAATAATATTACACGTAAATCAAAAAAATTTCCTTCTTTTTTAACAACACATTTCAACATCAATCACAATTCCATAATACATTCTTCCCAAATAATGGATGACAAACACACCCTTAATATGATCGACAAATTTGTTGGTTCAATCGGAGATGCCGAGATTGAATGGAAGAATTGAAGAAAATTCATCATTTATGTTAAGATTGGTCCTTAGATACTTGCGATTTGGTTGGATCGGAGATGCTAACAAGGCGGGAAACATAGTGGGGGAGCTCTCTATCGCTTGTGTCTATCTCCTGTATGCTCCCTTTATTTATGTTTTTTTTCCTTTTAATTATAAATGGTTGCATTTAATTAATTAGGATAATAATATTAGAACATCTTCAAGAGTCTCTTTAGAGCATTTTCAAGAAACTCTTTAAACACAAAATGCTCTCTATTTTAGAGAGTCAATACTTAAAAATAAGTTCTAAGGAACTCTCTATTTTAACTTTTTTAAAATAGAGAGTGTGTTTGACTTTTTATTCTTAATGTACAATGATTGCATTTAATACATAATTTCAATATTCTACAATTTAAAATTTTCAAATTACATTTGAATTGATTGGTTATTAATATATAAAAAAATATACTTAAATAAAATATGAGGAGAAATTATTAAATGTTCATTGAAAAAATAAAATTAAGAATCAAAGTAGAGTGTTTGTTAGAATGTATAAAAAAAAAATTACTCTCTAGATTTAAAGATGCTCTTAAACATGAGATATTCTCTATTTTAAATAGTCAATCGATTTTTTAAATTAACATTTTAATTTATATCGGGTTTGACTCTACTCTTTATAATTAAATGTATTCAAAATGTTTCAATTTTTAATGTAGGGAAATAATAAAATAATCTATAGAATAACTAGTTCAAGAAAAAGATAAAATATAAAAAATTGGTTGGAGTACTTCAATATTTTAACTCGCTAAATTTATAGGTGCCCTCCAAAGAATATAATATGATTTAAAAATATAGTCTCTTGGAGGATCTCTAAGTAGTTTAGGGTTTATATCTTAATTAGACTGGGAATTCTTCTTTCTTTTCCCTATTTAAACACTTAGCCTATGTTTGGTCCCTTTTTCAAAAATTTATTTTTAACCACACATTCTCCCATAAAATATTTTTCACCAAATCAAAAAAAAATTCTTTCTTTTTTAACCACACATTCTCCAAAACACCATAATTCTAAACCAGATTTTCTTACCCAAACGGGGCTCAAATTAACAGGAGATTAATATGCGTTTATTGCCTTTTGCTTGTTTCTGAATTAAATAAATACTTGGGGCTTTTTATCCAATTATTGGTGGATTTTCGGTTTAAAATCCTAATTACCTAAGGACCAATCTTGACCCCTCCAATAGTTAATATTCAGTGTCATCCCTCCTCCATCATGGACCCGCCTATTTTGGGAGATATAGGGTTGGGGAAAGTTAGTTGAGAATTATAAACCTTAATTTTCCTTCACCGAGAACAATCAATTTGAATAAAGAAAAAAAATATAAAAACTCGGTGATTTAAGAAAACGTAAAATTTGCAGACGTACGCCTCAATGTGAGACTACGTCATCTCTTGTAGATGCAATAATTCACTATGATTAAAAAAAAAAAAAAAGATTTAAAAGAGTAAATCGCACTCTTATATTTTGTAACCTCTCTTTCTCTCTTTTTGATGATAATAATAAAGTTTAAGGACGGCTCCCTAATTGTAAGTAAATTAATGTAAAATCAAATTTTACAAGGACTCCAATTCCTTAATAGAATTTTATAGGAAAAAATTCCTAAACATTTCTTAATAAAATTTTGTTATGAGAGTTCCGCGAAGTGGAAATAATTAGAATCGGCAATAATTAGGCTCCACAGCTTAACAGTCAAGAAGTGAGCGATGTCTCAGCTGTTGAAAGAGCCGGACTCTTAAGGACGAATCATGAATTTAACATTATCTTTATAATTAAATATATTGTTTTTGCTATGGAGTACTCTATGAAGAGTGTTTTAGAGGCTTAAATCTGTGATCCAACTATCCTCAGGACCTGCTTCATCTTACCAGCGTATGTGTTCAATCAGCTCGATACAATTGGTGGATCCGACTTTAGGAAAATGAATCAAAATCTTCCCGTTACACAATCTAACTCTGTTCAATGCTGTGGATCAAAGATGCTTGATTATTTAGATGCCAGTGATCCAAATTAATGAAGTGATAATCATATCGACACTCCATGTGTACATGTGATTTCTTTTATAGGGCGTTTTCAATTGAGCATTTCGGGTGAAAATATGACAGTTGGAAATTAAGACTCTACATCATATAGTTGTGAATAGAGGACACCAAAACATGCCGTTTTCGGACCGCAACCATTGTTTTGGGAAGTCTATTATTAAGGTTTCTATGTCATTTCCTCTGTTGTTATTTCTGCATTTGCCACCTCCCTGCTGTATAATATTCTTATAAATTTGAACGAGACCTCTTTTTTCTTTCAAATATTCAATTTGACATTAAAAAAATATGTAATATCTTAAGAATCAATAAGGATTTGACACCTAGTTTTTTGACATTCTTAAAACTAACACAAACTAGAAGGTTAATTGTGCCGTGATATTCTTTTAAAATAAATGCAGCTCCAATCCTCTACTCGTTTGTATGCTTCCGCTATATAAAAAGTCGACAAATTAATAAATATGAATACCATTTTTCTTTACAAGAAGAACAAAAGGGTGAAATTTCCCTGCTAAGATGGTGAAAACCATATATGTTAAAAGAGATTCAAAATATTTCCTTCTTGACAATTTTTTTTAGTTTGTTCTATTCATGAAAACAATCTTGTCATTTAGAATGTTATTAAGACAGTAATCTATCTCGTTACTGCAATGACTTGTTTATCAAAAGTTGATTATTCAATATTTGACATATTTAAGAAATTAAAAATCTTATACGTCGTATTATAATCCTATCATCGAGCAATCCGGTTGTACAGTTGAGAATTTCTGGGTAAAATTACGACATTTAGAAAGACTATAGCAGATTGTAGTGGATAAAGAAAGAAACTAAGCCAAGCTTTTTTCCCGACCAAATGCCATTGTTTTTGTCAAGTCTTTATCATACATTGAAGTTTCTATGTCATTTTCCTCAGCGGTCAAACTGATATTACAGCATTTTGCCACTTGCCTTCTAAGTAGGCTGGCTGTGGATATCAGCACTACAGCCACTGGTTCCCCGGTGGTCACACCGACTGGATTTAATTATATGTGTCATTTTCAATGAAGAGGTCCACGAATTTTTTAATCACTGTGGGCTGTACACTGTGTACAAGTGGGATTTTCCAAGTGAAAATGCATATTTATACAGCTAGACGAATAATATTTCCAATCTTTAATGAAGAAAATTTTTTAATTTGATAAACTCTTCTAACACGAAAAATCTAGTCATGTTTTATTATTGTGAAGGAACGTATCATTTTGTCTGTCTTATAAATTAGGATTAGATATTTAGAATTTGACGTTCAATTTAAAAATAATTTCTAGGCTTCGAGAAAAAATTACTTACAATTGAAATATAATTATTACTCATATAGTTAACAAAATATTATAATTAATATAAGGAGGACTAAATTAAAATGTATCTTTACATTTTGAGAAAGTACACAACAGAGAGCAACCATCTCTTCTATATATATATATATATATATTGAATACTCAAAATTTCAATCACAATTATTTGGGGTGCAATTTAATGCATCAAAATAATAATAATAATAATAATAATAATAATAATAATAATAATAATAATTCTCAACTGAATTGATAAACTGTCACCGACTGATCAATTGATTTTTTCATTGTGCAATTTTCATTAAAACAAAAATGCGATTTTGTTTGGACTTCAACAACGTATATACATGTTAGTGATTTCGTGTGAGTGTGCAGTGTGTACACATGATAATTCTGATGAAGTTTTATATATTCAATAAATAGGCTTATTTTCTGACTACAAGAAGATGTTAATTCTTTTTGGCCATTTTAATTACAATGTGGTAATTAATATCTTGCCTTTTCTTTTCTCTTATTTTGCCTCCTTCAAGTCTTTCCTTCAATTACACGTTCCACAAACTAGTTTCTCAGCACAAAAATGTGGTTTCAGCACTGTATTTTCTATTGCTAAATCTGAAAATTTGGTGTTCAAGGCTTTTATCGATGAGATTTATCCTTCCAACATCTGTAGGTTTTGTACCTTCATAACTCTTTCCAAACTTGTTTCTCTTTCTTTCAACTTCAAACAAACTATTTTCCTCTCGTTTTGGTAAACTTCCATAGATTTGTGAGATTATCTTTAAATATTTAACCCTATAAATTACTTAGATCCATGCTAATTACCATTGGTGTAAATAACATTACTCTTACCATGCTCTAACATGCATTATGTATTGATTTACTCTCTAC